GCTGAGGGGACCTGCAAACTGGGGGCTGCTGCAGGACCGGGCTCAGCCTGTGCTCTCCCGGCCAGGTGGAGTCCTTCGAAAGATGGATCCATGCAGGGAGCCCCCCACCCTCGGAGCAGCTCCAGGTGTGTCAGCCCCTTCCCGGACCCCCCGCCCGGGGCGGGTGGCGGGACCAGGGTGGGTTTTGGGGCCCGGTGCCGAGCGGCCAGGGTCGGACCCCGCATTCCTTGTGCCGCAGAGGATGAGCCTGCTGAAGGACGCGCAGGATGCGCTGGAGCGGGAATACCTGCGGGGCCGGCAGCAGCTCCCGGGGGCTGCGGGGGGGTTTGATCCTGACCGGTACGTGCTCCACCTCCACGGCCCCCCCCTTCCAGAGTCCGCGGAGCCTCGGGGGTCATTGTAACCCCCCCCCGGCACTGATGGCCGATGTCTTTCAGGGCGGTAGAAGAGGAAATTTACCGCCTGGGGCTGCGCCTGGAGGGGCTGAAGGAGCGGCTGGAGCCGGGGAGCAGGCGGCAGCCCCCCCCCACAGTCCCCTCTGCAGCCCCTCCCGCAGCCCCGCTGCCCCCCAGTCCCGTCCCCACCGCCGGCCACCCACTCCCCACGGCCCGAGGTGAGCTGGAGGTACAAAGGTGCTGGGGTGGGGGCACCCTGCTGCAGCTGGGGAGGTCATGCCTCTCGATCCCCCCTTTTGCTGTGCCCTGCAGAGCCCTGAGCTGGTGGACGGTCCCCTGGGGACAGCGGGGGACAACGAGGGAGTGAAGGAGGGGCTGCCCTGGCCCCTCTGGCACAAGCAGCTCCGAGTGGAGGAGGATTTCGCGGACCTGCTGGAGCAGTGAGTGCCCTCGGGGCAGCGTGGGAGGGGCTCGGGCGGGGAGCATCTCCCCCAAACCACCCTGTGATTCCCCCCCAGGTACAAGCACTTCAAGTCCCTACCGCAGTCGCTGAGCCTGGAGCGGCTGAGCCTGGCGGGGAGCGGGTCCCAGGAGGAGGTGGATGCGCCTGCAGCAGGGGACGGTGGCCCCGGCAAGGTCCCCTGCAGGACACGGTCACTGGAGGAGGGGGCCGACCTGGAGACCTTCCCCTTGTAAGTGCTGAGGGAGGACGAATCCCCAGGCAGGGTGAGCAGGAATTTGCCATCCGGGCTCCTGTTTTGCCTCTGAACTGGCTTCAGAGTTCACGACTTCCACGGGAGAGCTGCTGCACCAGGGATTTCCCCACATTTGGGGTTGCTCTGCCTCATCCTTATTCTTCATCCCTTCCCCCACAGGCATCCCCCGGAGAGAAAAGCTGCACTGCTGCCCTCCAAGGGACCCCCAAAAGCAGAGGGGACACGGAGCCACCCATCCCCTGCCACCTCTGAGGAGTCACCAGGCACTGCCAAGCCCCACCTGGTGGCCCCCGGACCACCACGGGCGCCCCTGTCCCGCCGCAGCAGCGGGACGGGCAGCGCTGCCCCTCAGCACGGGCCCCGCAAGGTGAATCCCCTGGGTGGCCCCCTGCCAGCACCCCCAGACCCTACCGGGGGTCCTGGGGTGCTCAGCACCCATCCTGCCGTCCCCGTGTCCCTGCAGGAGCAGCGCATCGTGTCACCGGAGACCGACAGCGGCTTCGTGGGCTCGGAGGCCAGCAGGGTGTCACCCCCCGTGCACACCCCCGAGCACCGCCCCCCCTGGCACCGGGTACGGCCCCGCACCTGCCTGCGGGAATTCAGAGGCACGGGATATCGGCTCTGTCTGCGGAGGATCGAAGAGGAGCAGCGATGGGGGGAGAGGCTTCACGGCCGTGGGGCGCAGGGAGGGGTTGCTGGGGGGGGTTGGAGATGGGCAGAGTGCCCCATGGCTGGGAGGTGAGCCAGGAGGGCTCCCTGCATAACCCCTGTCATCCCCAGGACCCCCGGCTCGCTGGGACCCTCCATCCCCATCCCCACAACCCTCCGTTCCCCACGGAACAGAGAGACGACCCCGCTTCCCTCCGAGACAGCACTGATGGGCATCTACCCCGCGGGCGGGCAGGAGGGCACGGGGGGGCCCTGCCTTCCCCCCAGCACCCCCTCGCAGAGCAGTTCGCCCCCTCGCTGGGCCGAGAGCGCGGGCAGCGAGGCGGGGCCCGACCCCGGCGGCGACGGAGGGGAGTAGGCAGCGCTTGGGGAGGGACGTGTCCAAAGGGAGAGAGATTTGGGGGGGGCCCTGGGGAGGGGGAGAAGCTCTGGTTTATGGTGTTCCCAAACCCCTTTGGGTGCAGGAGTGGGAGTGTCTCCTGAGATTCTCCCTCCTGAGGTGGGAAGAACATCCCCATTTCTCACGCTGCCAACCTTGACTCTCTGTGCTCCCTTTCCTCCCCAGCTCACACGGACTCGGAGGTGGGAGACAGGAGCTGTGCCAGCACCAGTGGACACCCCCCAGCCGTGGCCAGGAGGGTCCCTCCATCCCCAGCCCCAACCAGCCCCCCACCATCCCCTGAAACGCCGTCCCCCACCCTCCTGTCCCCCGACCTGCCGTCCCTCACCCCGGCTCACTGTGACCTGCTGGGCTCCCGTCTGGAGCGTGAGTGAGTGTCCATGGAACCCCAAACCGGGCCAAACCCCCCCTGGGTGGCACAGGGACCCCCCCCCAAAGGCACCCCCATATTCTGCTGGGCAGCAGCAGGTTCCCTTTCTTGGAGAGCCGGGACTTCACTGGGGCTGAGCCCTCCAAACTCATGACACGTGTGGTGGCTGAGACTGGACCCCCAGCTCAGACAGACCCCAGGCTTGGTTTTGGGGGAGCCTCACAGCTACTGGGTGGTGGTGGTGGGGATGGGGAGGTCTGGGAGGATGGGGCTGATCCTCCCCCAGGGCCCCCAGCTCTGTTGGGGTCGTTGCTGGCTGCAGACACCCCTCAGCGTGATCTCTGTCCCGCACAGCCAGGCCATCCGGGAGCTGCGGGAGGAGGTGTGGCGGCTGCGGCGGCGGCTGGAGGAGAGCCTGCGCCGCTCCCGCAGCTATCCCGAGGGAAAAGCGGCTCCCCGTGTCGCCCCGGCCAGGAGGCAGCCCGTGGGCAGCGCGCCATCGTCCCCCCAGGACGCAGCACCCTCGGGGTAGGTGGGGGGCGGCACTGTGTCCCTGTCCCAGGGGCGTGGGGACACCCCCAGCCTGTCCCGCCTCTGCTGTGACAGGGAGAGGTTGGGCTTTGGGGGGACCGGCAGCTGGGTGGGTGGGGGACACTGAGGGGTCTGGGTGGTGACAGCATCTCTGTCCCCTCCGCAGGGAGCTGAGCCCCCCGGCGCGGGGCAGGGTGGCCCCCGGGGTCGCACCCACGCAGAGGGGCAGGTCCGCATCGCTGCCACGGGACAGGCCGGAGCTGGACCTCAGTAAGTGGGACCCCAGCGGGGTGGGGACAGAGGGGACAACCCCCTCCCTGCACGGAACAGAGTGTTGGTGGGGCCTGTGGGATTGCGGGGACCAGGCAGGTCCTGGTGGTCCCATAAGACCCCACAGCGGATCCTGCAGATTTGGGGCTCGGACCCACCGGATCCCACCTCGCTTCCCTGTCCTCTGCCACAGCCTCCGAGTCGGACCCCTCTCCCGCCGGGCCCCGGGCACGCCCCTCCCTGCGGAAGCACCCTGGGAGCCCCCCGGGAGCGGTGACATTCCGGGGACAGCACACAGGTGGGTGCTGGTGGCGGTCAGTGCTGGGGGATGGGGTGGCCACCCACACTTTGGGGTCCCCGGCCGTGCTGACGCTGGGTTTTGGCAGGGACACGGTACCAGGGGGGGGACACCACGTGCTGCCCCAGCACCCCGAGAGGAGCCGGGCACCCCGGGGTGCCCCCGATGTCACAGGAGCGGGACATCATCGGGTGAGTGGGGAGCTGCCCCCAGCCCCTTCTTGGCCTTCCCTGCTACCTGCTAACAGAGCTGCTAATGACTTATTCATTAATTAGAGAGGCTCGGGGAGGGGGGAGCCCATTCCTCATGACCTGAGGCTCTCCCTTTCCCCTCGGCCAGACCCCTCTGCCCTGGGGCTGCAGCCACTGGTGTCCGTGGGAGCAGTGGGAGCCTGTCCTGGATACCTGCCTTTGCAGACCCCCTTTGCAGCAGCCCCCACCCCACCTCCAAGCCCATCCCAGCCACCCCCCCAAACCCACTCTGTTCTTCCCAAACATCCCTCCCTTGTTCCGCGCGGGACATTCCCGATTTCCTCTCTGCTCTCTCCATAGGTGGATTCTGGGTGGGTGATGCCACCCAGCAGCCCCAGCACAGCACCCCAAGGAGGACACGCTGCCCCACTTGCCGGGCACCCCTGGGCCCCCCCCGTGCCAGGCAGCAGGGACAGAGCCACGCAGGGTGGGTGACGAGGGTGACACGTGCTCGGCACAGCCCATCCCTGCGTGGGGGGTGGGCAGGGAACAGCCCTCAGCTCCCTGGCACTGCCTGGGGACAGAAGTGACAGCCAGCAGTGCCACCTGCGGGCACGGGTGTTCCCACCCAGCAGTGGCTGCCCCGGGGGTGATGTCACCTGGGGCTGCCACTCGATGCACAGCCCTGGGGACATCCAGCACCTCTGGGGACATCCAGCACCCCTGGGGACATCTAACCCCTCAACCACCTTCCTCTCTCCCCACAGCAGAGCGTGGCCCCGGTGCCACATCCTCCCCAGGCTCCCACGTTGGTCCCCGAGCCAAGAAGCCGGATCAACCCGGGTTTTGGTACCTGGCAGCCGGTCCTGCTGCCGCCGCTGCCACCGTCTGCCTCGCCCCCGTCCCCCTCGTGCCTTACGTGCCCTCCGTGCTGTAAGGATGCTCTATGGGCAGGTGGGGAGGGGGCCCAGGGTGGGTCAGCGTCCCCCGGGGGTGCAGGGTGAACCCAGGCAGGGCTGTGCCCGCTCCAAGGACCTGCTGGTTTGCCCACAGATCCCTTCTGGGCGGGAATGGGGTGACACAGCCACAGCTCCTTTGGGGAGGGGTCTGAGCGGAGTGGGAAGGTGCTGGAGGGGGGGGGTGGGGGTGAGGGGGGGGCAGAAGGGGGGGCACAGAGCGGGGGGGGGGGGGGGGGGGGGGGGGGGGGGGGGGGGGGCTCAGAAGCAACACTGAGCCCATGTCCCCTTCTTCTTCCCCCCAGCTACTGCTCCCCAGCGGTACCTACCTCAGCCCCCGCCACAGCCGCGGTCCCCCTGCGCCTCACCGGGGGAAACCGGCGGGCACAGCGACCCCCCCGGGCACAGCCCCGTCACCGCTGCCTCAGCCTCGACCTGGAGGAGCTGGACGAGCTCAACTGGTCCCTGAGCCGGGCCGTGGAGGCTGCCCAGAGTGTCAGGGTGACCACCACCCGCATGAGCCGGGCACTGGCCGCTGAGCTGGGCCGGGCACGGGATCTACGCAGCTCCTGCCTCTTCTGAGGGTCCCATGGGACCTGCAGGGCTCCTGCCTCTTCCGAGGGTTCCACTGGCACCTTCCAAACCATCCCTGCCCTGGCAGCAGGCAGGGATGAGGAGGAGGAGGACGGTCCCCCCACCATCAGCATCCCTGCACTGGGTGCTCCCAGTGCCAGATCTGGGGGCACCGGGGCTGGAGGCATCTCCAGGGGGTCCTGCCCTGGGTCCCACCCCCTTCCTGCTTGCCCTGGAGTTCCTGCATCGCTTGTCTGTCTGTTTTCAGGACCGCTCAAGCTGCAGGAGGGGGGAAGGTGTGGGCAGAGGTCTCCCAGGACCTGCAGCACCCTGGGGAATGAGCACCGTCCCCTGGGACCAAGGGGGTGGCCCTGTGTCCCCCCCTAAGGCAGTGGCCACCCCAACCTAAGCACTTCTGGGGCTGCTGTGACCTGCTGTAGGTCCTGCACAGGTCGAGCCCCCCTTGGCAGCTGTGTTTACCTCTGTGCCTGCATGGGCAGAAATACCTGTGATTCCCTATTCCGCCCCTTTCCCAGATTTTAGGCCTCCTCTGGGGGCTCAACCCATGTGTCCCCCTCCTGCTCTGCCCTTGGACTTGAACCCAGCGGGATCCTTTCTGGGGAAACCCTTCTTTTTGTGGGATTTTTGTGATTTATTTTTTCCCCAAGACAGCCAGTAAGCAGCTAAACCACTCTTTGAGGGTTGATTGATGATATATAATGTGTGTGTGTGTATATATATGTATCTATATATGGATATATCTAGACAGAGATAAATCCATGTCTGTCTATATTTAGATATATATCTCTAGAAAGACAGAGATATATCTCTATATATAAATCTGTATATACACAGATCTTTATCTGTAGATACATCTTTACATAGATACATATGTGTATATATATATATATATTGGTTTTCATTTTCAGCACAACCCTTAGGGCATTTGTGGGTTTTTTTTGGCTATCCCTGGATGTGGCCACCCACAGCATCATCCAGGACGAAAATGAAATGAAGGATTTGGGGTTTTCCCCTGGGATTCCCAGGGAATCCAGTCTGGTAAAGGGAAAAATCACCCTGCAAGACTGAGTTGGGGGTAGGTGTGGTGCTGAGGGGTCTGCAGAGCCCCTGTCCCTCCCAGCTGGGTTTGTAATGAGTTAATGCCTATTTTTTTTAAGGAATTTGATCTGGTCAGAGCATCTTTTCCTGGGATGGGTCCAGTCAAACCCCTCCAGCACCTCCTGTGGCACCCCAGCTCTGTTTATCTGTAGGACTTACCTAAAGTGCCAGTGTCAAATGTATTTATTTTTGCTTTTATTTGTGGTACAAAGACCCCCATTTGGGGGGGGTGGGATCAGTGCCACCCCCAGAGAGTTCCTCAGGTCCAGAGCCTTCCTGAGCAATCCCTGAGCCTGATCCTGCACCCCCCAGGGAGGGGCTGGGAATGGGACTGCCCCCCCCACCCCTGCCCTTTTTGGGGGGAGAGGGGTGGGTTGGGGGGATTTTAAAGAGGATTTCTGTGTCTCTGGTTGCCTCTGCTCGTGCCTGTGTCCCGAACTGGAAGCTGTGCCCCCCCCCCCAGCCCAGCCAGGGTACGATAGGAACACGTGGGAAGGATGTTTAACTATCCCAAATGCAGCAGCCAGGAGCAAAATGATGGGTTTTTTCCTCATCCCCTATTTTTTAACACCCAGCAGAGCCACTGGGCTGGTATTTTGTACTAAGAAATCACCTATTTTTGAAGGAAATAAATGTGGTTGGATGACTTTGTGTGCTTATTTTCCTTTCCAAAGCCATTTCTCGGGGGAGTTTTGGCATCACCCCACCAGGACCCCTCTCTTGGAGGCGTGTGGGGCTGGGTGGGGTGTTTCCCTACATCTTTTCCCTGTTTTCCTGGCCCCCAACGAGTGGCACAGCACAGCCCCAGTTGCACTAGGGATGGAGATCGCTTTTATTTAGTCACTCGAGTGCTTTAGTACAGAAGAACAGATATACAGAGATGATACATGTTTGTGCTTCAACACTTTCAAACATTTAGATTCCAGTAATTTCAAGGTAAACAAGTTCCAAGACAGACTAGATTATTTTTTTTTAAAGTTTTCCTTTTTGATAAATTATTTTTTATATAAATAACTGTAACAGAAAAAAAAATAATAATAATTATAATAATGTTCAACATACAAGATCCTGAAGCATTTGCATTGCTAAACCAAGAAGGAACGAAAACGGGCTGGGAGGACTGAGGGGGGGAACCAACAAATATCAGTGCAATGATACAGCCTTTGCCCTAAAAATATATATTTAACTTTATGGGCAAGGAGCAGACAGGGAGGGAAGGGGGGGCTAACCACCAACGAGGCAAGAAAGAGCAATTTGGGGGAAGGAAAAGGGGGGTCACAGCCTTCGGGGAGAGAGAGAGAACAAAACCATAGACCCCAAAATATTGCAGTGCATCTAATGGCAGGGGCGGGGGGAGGGGGGGCAATCCAGGGGGTGGAAAATAAAAAAAGCCCAACTAAAATCAAGAGGTTTGGGGAAATCACTATACACCAAGCTTGTAAGAACGTCACGAGACACAGTCATTAATATACACAGAGTCCAGAGGGTTTTGGGGTGGGCCCAGAGGGTTTTGGGGTGGGCCCAGAGGGCTGGGGAGGCCTGGAGGGTTTAGGGGAGTCCAGAGGGTTCGGGGTGGGCTCAGAGGGGTTGGGGAGGCCCCAAAGGGTTTGGGAAGGGGGCCCAGAAGGTTTTTGGGGGGGGGCCTCGGGGCGACGGCAGGCTCAGAAACGCTTCACCACGGGACGACACGAGTGGGGCCGGGCACGGGGCACTGAGCTTCCTTTGGGATGGATGGAGAGGTATCCATGGGTGGATATACTATATATATATATAAAAAAATAATTTATATATATATATATTTTAAGGAGTCCCCAGAGAGGAGGAGGTCAGGCTGAGCAGGGCAGAGCAGTGGCCGTGCAAGCGAACGAGCCCCATCTCCAAGTTTTGACCGTTTTGGTCCCTTTTCACATGGGAATTGCCACAGTGTGAAGCGTCCCGGCTGCACCTCCCTCACACCCCCCCCCACCCCCCGGCACGGCTGGCAGGGGCTCCCACCACCCCAAAAAGCCATGGGACAGCAGATGGTGGTGGGGACCCCCCATCCATCCTTCCACCCACACAGGACCCCAACGAGGAGCAACTTCCCCAAAAAAACGGTGTTTTCCCACTATTTTCCCACCATATTCACTAGCAATGGGCAGATGGTTACTCAGCAATGAGCTCCTGGGCGCTTCCCACGGCTGCAGCTACAAATATATAGATTTTTTTTTTCCTTTTTCTCTTAAACACAATGCATCCATTTTCTTAATATATATATATATATTATTTTTTTTTTGGCTGTTGTCCCCTCCCTGTGGATAAAATGAGATGGGGCGGGGAGGAGGAGAGGCAGCGGGAGGGGAGGGGAGGGGTCAACACAAGAACAAGAGAGAAGCTGTGCCCGCTGGGTGCAGGGTGGCACCCGGGGCCGGGCGCCCGGCGGGGACGTGGGGTCGGCATCGAGTGGTGACGGCGTTTCCTTTTAACTGCTGCTCTCTTCCTCTGTTTTATTGAGTTTCTTCAGCGTGTCCAGCAGTTTCTGTGGGGTGAGGATGTGCGTGGACCCTGTGGGAGCAGAGGAAAAGGGGTGGGGGGTGGGGAATCGGCGATGGGTTTGGGACACCTCCCCCTCCCCGTTCCCGCTGTCCCGGGTCCCCCTTACCTGGCGGCGCCGGCCCCGCGCCGCTGGAAATGCTTGCGGGGAAATGCACGGCTGTGGGGAAGGGGAAGGGGCGTGTGGGGGCGTGGATAACGGGAAAGGGGGGGGGAGGGAGGGATGAAGGCGATGGATGGAGCTGGCGGGACGAGGAAGGGGTCGGGAGGTGCCTGTGCAGAGGGGTCGTGGCAGCGGGGTCTCTACTGGAACCTTCGGGGATGCAGGAGGGCGAGGTGGGGGATGCGGGTGGGCAGCGGGGAGCAGCTGGCATGGAGCGACATTCCATTGGTCCCCAGGGAGCAGCAGGCAGGGAGGGTCATTCCACAGGTCCCCCAGCCTGCAGGGAGCATCCTGGGATCAGAGGGGTGGCTGGGAAAGGGACGGGTGAGAGGGGAGGAGGAAAAGGGCTCTCGCCTTCTGCTGCACTCACCACGCTGCCCAAGCCAGCCCAGCACACAGGGGATGCCATGGGGAGTCTCACCAGGAAAACCACCAGCAGCTAAACCCCAGCAGAAGGTCTGGGGGCCTACAACCTCAGGGGGCTCCTGCCCATCCAAGGGGCTCAACTGCCACAAGAGCAAACCTGAGCTGCCTGGGGATTCCATCCCTGCAACCGTGGCAGTGCCCAGCCTGTGCTGGGGTCTCCACCGTGTGCCCACTGCTGCCTGCTCTTCCCCGGGCACCGAACCCCCAGCCCTGCTCCAGCAGCAGCATCCCGGGGTGTTCCATCCCCCTGCCCAGCCCTGGAACACCTCCCTGGGCAGGCAGGACCCCGACCCGCCGCCCCCAGCCCTGGCGAGGGGGGGGACTCATGGCATGAAGGAGCCGGCCAGGCCCGGCCAAGAGACATGGCAGGGGGGTGATGGGGCGACACTGGATGCTTTTCCACCTGGGAGGAGGAAACGCAAGCATTTTCTCATCGGAGAACCCACCAGGACCCAGCACAATAACCAGAGAGAGGAGGACCGGAAGAATCAAAGAAAACCCTTCGGGGTGGAAGAGTTTCTTTTTTCATTAGTAAGCTGCCTTTACTTGGTTTTCTTTGGCTCACTCCATTGCTGGAGCCTGATCCTCAAATGATACCCTAGTGGAGTCCCTGAAGTCGGGGTGCCTCAGGTCCATGAGAAATTTGGTGGGAGTGAGAATGTGAGTAGAACCTGCAGGAGAACAGAGCGGGGCTGACGGCCGTGCCGAGGCTCCCCACCACCACCACCACCTGCTTTTGGGGTGAGGAAGGACACGGGTGGACCCAGAGCATCGTAGGCGCATGCAGGGGATGGTCCCCAGAGAGAGGCGGGATGGGATGGGATGGGATGGAGCTGGGATGGGTGTCCAGTGACAGGGGGACACATCCATAGGCAGCAGGAGGTCATGGAGATGGGATGCTGCTCCCAAGGAGCAGATGAGATGCCAACAACAGGCTCCGCCAGCCATCCTGGGCAAGAATCCAGGGACCAGGAATCCGGATGAGACGCTGAGGGGAACCTGCCCCTGCCCTACAAGGTGTGTATCCAAGCCGTGCTTCCCAGAGGAATTTTAGGGCACCTAAAAGCTCCTTGCTAACATCTGGTAGAGCTTCCACTGTGTCCTCTCTGCCTGACCCATGGCTCCTCTGGGATGCTGAGACTGAGCACACAAATGTCCTGTTGCCCAGAGCCCCTCAGGAGGGCTGTGCTCAGGATTCCCCTCCTGGGAAGCTCAGGGGCATGAGCTGAGCTGGAGGTTTCACCCCTCTGATCACTGCCTGGGGTGAGGGACCCTCTGCTGGGGTCACTGCCACCCGTGAGACCTTTTACTGCCCAACAGGAAAACACATCTCCCGTTTGCACAACTCGTGGTTTGCTTTTTCCTTCCTCTAATGACCCCAAGAACGAGCAACACAGGTGCAACAGGAGCTGCCAAAACCTCCTTCCCTCTCACCCAGCCCTGCTCAGGCCAAAGCAACCAGGGGAGACGAAAAAACAACGGAGCCAAAATGAGGATGGGTGGAGTGACTCAACCCGCATGGGAGCAACGAGGAGAAAACCCTTCTGCCGAGTCCCAGCTCCCGCAGACGTCTGGAGCCGGGAACTGGCGGGATGCGAGCGTGGGATGAGCACAGGCAGCACCCAGGGGTGGGCCCGGGGGGTCCCCACTCACCTATTAGCACCTCCCACTTGCCGCTGGCTTGTGTCACCTCGTAGGCGCAGCGCATCTCGTTCATGCTCACCCCGCCCAGGATGAAGATGATGAGGCGGGGCCCGCTGCGGTACTCGCCAGGAGCCTTGTTCTTGTGCCAGTGGCCGTAGCGGGCACTGAGGGAGGAAGAGGAGGGTGAAGGAGGGCACGAGGCAGCACCTCTCGGCTAAAGAATGCGTTGGTTTGCTCCCAGGTGGGGCAGGCGGAGCGGGGTTTTCCAGCGGTGAGGGTGGCTAGAGGTGAGGGTGGCTAGAGGTTACGGGCTGGGAAAGTAAGGAATGGGATGGCTGGAGGGAAGCTAAGGAATGGGATGGCTGGAGGGAAGCTGAGGAATGGGATGGCTGGAGGGAAGCTGAGGAATGGGATG